TTATAGTTCTTAGGGTTGAATTTTCTTTCAACTTGTGTAGTGGATTTTCTTTTTCTGGAAAGTTAGAGAAAATATCAGAAAAATAAGGAAAAAGAACTTATGCAATTTTTGTCCCATGGTTGAATTTTGTGGATCCAATCAACAATTTCATGAATTAATGTGATCAGAAATAGGAGATAAAGCCACATGTAGATTCCAAACTTGTCATGTTAATAACTCAATATTAGGTGCGTAATAGAATGCACTCTTTTATTTCATATTTTTCATAGGCATGTTTCTTGTTTCTTATTGATTAAAAGTGGATCTATGTTTATAACGATTTCGTATTTATTGTTCTTTCTTCTTTTATTGAAAAAATATTCGTAAACATATCTGGTAAATTAAAAAAATATATACTTTTTTTCTATTGAAATTAATTTTTCAATTAAACGTTCAAAATTTTTTATATTATTTTTATTTTTAATATTTTATGCCTTTCATAAATTAAGAATGATAAAATAATACTTTTATTTATTTTATTTACGTTGAAGAATAAAAAATTAGAAGAGAAAAACAGAAAATTAATTTTTTTTTGTTAAAAAAGAAAAATGGAAAACAATAAAATTACAAAACACTTTTATTTTTTAAAAGCTGAAAATGATAAACAAGAAACATAAATATTATAAAGCGGATATTAATTTAGTTGAACCAAACAATCAAAACAAAAATTACAATTATGATTGATAATGGAGATTTTTCAACTTAATTTTCATATCTTTAACCAATCGAGACCCAAACGCTCCATCTTTTGATTAGGTTCATAGGATTCTAACTTTGTCATATGCCAATCTCAATAACTTAACTACAAAACAAAATAAATAATTAATGATGCAAATTAATTAAGATTTCTTAAATGCAAATTATTATTATATTAGAACAATAGTATTATTGCACTAAAAGGATAAAAAAAAAATCCAATTAATGGGTTTCACAAGAGAAATGCTCCTACCCCATCAATAGTAAGAAGGGGAAAACTAGGGATACTAAATAAACTCTTAAAATTATTTAAAAAAATAATTAAATTTGCATTAATTATTTTCCACCTCTCTCTTTAAATGAGTGGCTATTTTAAGTGGAGAGAATCATTCCTTTTAGAAGTAACATCTATTATTAAAGCTTTTTAAAATTTTGATGCTGCATGTATTTGAACCTTTTAGGCCCACAAAATTTGACTTCATCAGCAAATCAATAGTAACAAGTTTTCTTAGAAAATGAAGTTTAAACTTTATTTTCCCTTCTTTTTTTTTTTTAATATTCTCCTTAGGGTTGCTGAGTCATTATTGGGTTGGAAGTGAAAAGATGTGATATTGGAATCAAATATTAATTAATTGTTATTTAAAAAATAAGATGGGATTCATTTTTTTTTTCTCAAAGTGGTGACAAATTAGAAACTCTTTTTGTGTTTCTTTTTCTTTTCTATAATGTTTTATAATATTGGTTCCTTTGGCTTATTTTGTTTCTATATCTAGTTCATCTTATCCACCATAATCATGGCGTTGAAATAAAAAAAGGAGATGATATTTGACAATTTTAGGTGAAAGTTACTTTAGTTTCACTTCCACTTGCTTGTGTACCCTTGGCACACCCTTGATTTTGATCTTCACAAAAGATAAAGTTTGATTTGATTTGATTTTAATTATCTTAAGAAAGTTATAGATAAAAAGGGGTTCAAATTTATGTACTTTTTCTTTTTGATTTTGGTTGTTTTGATTATATTGTTGGGATTGGTGTAGCCAAATCTATGTCAGATGAAGGGGCAGAGCTGCAGGCCAGGATGACCGAGGAGGCAGGATGGCACTGTCGAGATGGGGACGCGCAAACGATTTCTTCCGTCCGTAGCGTCATGACGCTGTATCAACGTTATAAATACTGCACTTTCGGATTTTAGGTTTTAGTAGCTGAAATTATCAGTTTTCTGTGGCATTTTTTTAGGCGGTGACTCGGGGTATTGGCAGTAGAGTTGAGGCAAATCAAGATCGACGTATTCAAGTAATTAGATCTTGATTCTTCAGAGGTTTTCATTCTTGTACCTAAGTATAGTGTGTTATAATAGTTAGGCTTTTGTTGGGACCTCTAGAAAGTGAATAATTAGAGAAAATATATTTGAGTGCTTATCCAATCTCTTTATTAGTGGAACATGCATTTGAGTGAAAGACTAGACGTAGCCTCTAATCTATTAAGGTGGATCAATATAAATTCTTGTGTCGTTTATTGCGTTCTCTATATTCCTCTTTGTGTTGTGTGGTTGACTTAGTAATTAACTAGATATAATTGTGGAAGAGAAATTGTTTGGAGTGTGACTTAATTTTCAACATATATTTCAGCTTATGAGTTGAATCATCCTATTTTGAAAGATTAAGCTCTCGTTGGTTTACTTTTTCAATTTTAAAAAGTTGTTTATGAAATTTTAATCAAAATTTTAAATTTTAAAAAAGTAACAAATTAAACGAAAATTTTAACATCGTATGAGAGCTTTGTTGGAAACGTTTTTGTTTTGGTTTTTATAAATCATGCTTAACCTCTTGATGTTTATTTGACCAAATTGTAGCTAAATTTTGAAAATTGCCAGACAAAATTATAAAAAGTAGATTTAGTCATTTTCTCTTGAAAAAAAATACCATATAAAATCGTTGAATTATGCTTATCGACTAGTATAATTGCACAAATAGATTTCTTAATCTTAATTTTTTGAAAAACAAAATTATCATCCTAAATAAGGTCTACATTTTAAAGTTATTTTCAAGAAAAGAATCTAAAAACATATTTTACATGCACATAATAAAATAAATAAAACTATTAAGAAACACCCAACAAAACATACAATAAAAACAAATCATTATCAACGCTAGAGCGAGCATAATAAGTCAACAGTAATTGACATATATGTCCAATCAAGAGGTTGTGAGTTCCATCCTCATCTCATATTGTTCAAACAAATCATTATCAACAGACAAATCTTCAATAAAAACATTAAAATTTCCTTCCAAAAAAAAGACACCCGAGATCTTTAACAGCATATTAATCAAAATTTAAAGGATTTGAAATAAAAGAATTAGATCCCTCTCAATTTTTTGGACCAAAAATAACCAAATAGAGAGATTGGTGGGTGTCATTTTCTTTTGATTTAGACAGAGAGAAATATATTCCATAGACTTTGAGGTCACCAAGAAATTGGCTTTTTTTTAAGGAAAAAAAATTAATATTTATAAAAAGGAATCAATAATCTCATATATATCCCCCCACATTATATTTTTATGATCAATTAATTAATTGCATTCTCTATTTTTAAGGAAAATCCTCAAATCGACTCAATATGGTGCTTCAATTAGGAATTAGATATATATCACCGCTACGAACGTTTTATATATATATATATATATATATATAACAAAATTATATTTTGTTCATATATATTAATATCAATGAATAAAAGAGAAATATTGAAGGACGATAACTGTCAAAAAGGGAAAAAGAGGGAGAGAAACGAGAAATTATGAAATTTATGCCAAAAAAATCTATAATTGACGGTTTATCGTATCAAATTTAATATGGACAAATATTGATGTTTTACCACTATCAATATATATTTTTAGAAAATAATTTTATTTTCAAGTAAAAATTGAACTTTTATTGACTTTTTTCGTAAAGCGTCAACCAAACAAAAAAAAATCATGCATCATAAGGTCAAATTTTATAGCGGTGACGTTTAGTTTATTGGTCAAAACTTATCACTTTGTTGATAATTTATTCCATCTTTGTTCGTTGATTTGTTGGTGTAATTTTATAGCAGGGAACTTTTATTGTCGATTAGTTTTTTCTTATTTTTGTTATATATATATATATAATATAATATAAATTCTTAGTATTATGAGCACAAATCTTGCTTGTTTTGATTTTAAAATTATTTGATGGTTGTTTGTTAATAATTTAAATGTTTTGTAATTTACTTTTTACGAAAGTGGACTGAATTTTGAAGGCTATAACCATAGTTGCTATAAGGGATATATATTATTTTTGATAATTGAGAATTAACATGTGAAACAAACAAAGTTTGGTACCAAAGAAATTTAATTATATACTTTAAATAAATAAAAGCAAACATTTTCAAAATGGGATCAAAATTATTCTCCCTCAAGACTTATATATTCTCATTCTAGCTTCTAATGGTGTCAAAGAGAGGCCAAGATTGTCATATAAAGAAAAAGAGAGATGCCAAAATAGACTTGAAATCAAATATATGAATGGCACTATAAATATGCATGCTTAAAAAATAAGGGCTAAAATACTGTTTTAGTTTCTTAAAGTTTTGGTTTATTTTGGTCCTCGAACTTTCAATTTTGGTTCGCTTTGATACCTGTATTTCCAAAATATTTGTTTTGGCCTTTGTACTTTTAAAAAGTGATGATTTTTGTCTCTTGATTTTATTTTCATATCATTTTTCTACTGCAATTTCAAAATGATACTACATTCAATATGTTTATTGAAATGGACGGATAGTTTTATATTAAAGAGTTTTTTCGTCACGTGTAGAATTTATTTTAAAATTTGTAAATAGGGACCAAATGATTATTTTTTAAAAGTACATAAGTAAAACGAATATTTTGAAAATATAATGACAAAAATGAACCAAAAATCAGAGATCAAAATAGTATTTTAATCTTTTTAAGTATAGAAAATTTACAACATTAATTTTTTTTGCGAACTTCTTCCTTATATTTATAATTTGTGAAATATGATGATTTTCATTTGTTCTTCTAAACAATTTCTAACTATTTTGTAAGCAACGAATCTCAACACGAAATATGAAGCTGAGACTGAATTTTAAATTATGAAAGTAATTTTAGTTAGTAATTGATTGAGAAATAAATCCAATTTCAAGTCAATACGTATATCTATATACATATGTTTTGATGCTAATGGGATATTGTTGGTGCTGATTTATAGGCAAGTCTCATGTAGGCGCCACACGACTGCCATACGGATTGCCCCGATGCACTTGCTTAGCGCACTCGGCCCTGGACCCAATGTGTTCGGCTTTTAAGTATGGTGCGCTCTGCTTCCCTTGTCTTGCTCCACTTGGATGCTAGTACATACATATATATAATTAATGTGATCTTATACGTGTGAATATTCAACAAATAAATTAATGTCCACAAGCGAATATCAACCTTTAATGGTACAATAAACAAAATAAAATGAATATTTTACGTTTCATGTGAAAGCATATTCAATAAGTTTTATTTTCTAGACTATTGGTTCTCTTAACTAAAAAAAACCTCTCCTAAGGACAATTTTAAATAGAAATTTCTATGTTATATATAATAATAATAATAATATATTTTTTAATTACAAAAACTGATAAATGAGTTGAAGAAGTTATCCAATCAATTAGTTTTAAACCTTAAAATTAGTATTAATATGAAAAATATTAACTTCACAATGTAAATATGTCGCTTTTTCTTTCAAATTTACCAATTAAATTATTGTTTTTTTATATTTCGCTTTTTCTTTCAAATTTAACAATTAAATTATTGATTTTTTATCCATAATGCGTCCGTAAAAGGCCCAATAAATTCAGTGTGCCCAGTTCGGTTAAAGCCCAATAAGGAAAAACTGGGAAAAAAAAAGCAAATGGAAGCCTTTCTCTATCAGAGCCAGGTTTCGATCCTGGGACCTGTGGGTTATGGGCCCACCACGCTTCCGCTGCGCCACTCTGATTATTGAGAAATAACCGAGTATTATTTATATAAACCGTATATAGTATTGACTGATGGTTTCAAAGTTTAAACGTGACAAACATTCAAAAAATCTTTAATTATTTATGACGTCACATTATGTATTTTACTGACATTGTTTTATTTCATCCATAATATTTTCCAAGTTTTAATTTATTCTCGTTATGTCAAAAATTTTCAATTAGATCTCTACTAATAGAATAAATGAATGACACAACAATGTATTAAAACTTCAATACGCCATCAACGCTACATGGTTTTGGAAGTCAGTTTCAACCCACTAACGGAGAAAATGAGGAAATAAAACAAACCACACTCGAGCTCTGCCATCTAAACTCAACAGGTATCATATTTTACCAAAAAGAACTACGGTTATTTATTATTATTATTATTATTATTATTTTAATATTTGGACTCGTAACGTACACAAAAGAAGAGAATGGTAGTGCTTAAGTTTATGGATAGGTTTCTATTTGAACCATAAGTTTCAAAAAGTGACATTTTGGTCCTCAACCTTAAGGAAATAGTTTTAAATGGTCTCTAAACAAAGTTGACCGTTAGTTGACTAACGAAAAAGTAAAATCGTATTATTAAGTTGACAAATTTTGAATGATGTGTTAATATTTATTTATTTTATATCTATGAGTTACATCTTTTTTTTTTCTTTTTCCATTTCTTTTTCTCTCTTCCCTCCTCCTTCCCCTAACTGAGGAAGGAGGCGACGGGGAGCAAAGAGAGAGAAAGAGAAAAGAAAAGGGAAAAAAATGGCACCTAACTTTAAAATATATATAAAATAAATAAATATTGATACATCATCTAAAAATTGTCAACTTAAGATTGTCATGTCACTTTTTCTTTAGGTCAACTTTGTTTAGATATCATTTAGAACTATTTCCAGATTGAGGATCAAATTGTAAAACTCAGGAATTAAAAATATATTTTACACCAAAGAAAACTACCAAATTTTTTTTTTAATTTAATTCTTATTTTGGTCGTTATTATTGTTTTATTTTAGCTTCTCAGCTCTCAAATGTCTTTGTACTCGCAAAAAAAAAAAATGTCTAGCTTTAATTCGTAATCTTTGTATAATTTTTTTTTTTACTGATCATTGCCATGAATTTGTATAGACCATTTTGTAAAAATTTGAATTATAGTTTAAATCTTAACAGCAGTAATTTCAAATATTCATAAACATATTAAACTTATACCCTTAAGTAACCAAAAACAAAGGTTGCTTTTACAAATTTCTATCAATTATTATTGTTATTTTTTTTTTTTAGAAAAGTAGATCAACAACAATAATTAAAAAAAATCTTATAATAAAAGTTTCAAAAACTAAAATTCTTAAAAAGAAAGAGTGAACCATTCACACATCTTATTCCTCGTAGTTTATCTAGTAATTAAGGGCCAAACTACAAATTTGGTATCCATTTAATAACTATTTTAGTTTTATTATTAAAATTGTTGAGGGAGAAATCTGAGTGGGTGACATGTCAAGCTTTGAGAGGTAATAGTTGGAAGGGCGAGAAAGGATAAGGGCTGAACGCTTGCTTTGCAGCATGGGAGACGTGCTGCGGCCTGCAAACTACATTTTGCATAAAGGATAGATTAGCAGGTGACAGTACGACAACCGCACACTAGGAATATCCTTGCTTGCTCGTGAGAATCTCGTATGACAAGGAGCACCAGTGTGCTACAAACAAAATGTCCTCCCTGATCGACCATAAACACATATAAAAGGAAAAGGCCACTAATAAATAAAAAATCTGTCACTAATTTCTAAGGTGCTTTATGCTATCCTTACTTTGATTATTAACTTGAATGTTAGAGTCTTTTAGATAGGGCACTACATCGACCTTGAGAATCATTTTTGCAGGCTCATTTGTGTTTCGAAGGACACGTGGACCTCTCCAAAATTCGGTATCAACAAAAATTGTGCTCGATTTCTCACAAATTCATTGATATGTTTTCAATTTCATAAAAAATACTATGTGAATTATTTGTCAAATTAAAAAAAATCCTTTAAAATCTATTTTCAATTTTCAAATATTGACAAATTTAAAAAAATTTTCAAAAGGCAGGGGACATGACAAACAAACAAATAAGTAAAAATAGTATTTTTTAGTTTGAATTTTTTAGAAGTAGAAAATAAAAAATAAAATAATTATTAAACACGATCTAACTTTATAGGATTGTATCTATTTAGTCCGTATAGTTTTTTAAAAAAATTATGGGTCCACGTTACACGTTGATTATGCTGTTTAAAAATAACGTGACATGATAAATTCAGGGTTTAAAATTTAAAGATTTATTGAAAATTCTGTAAAGTAAGAGTTGAAAGAAATTTGGTTCCCGCTATAAGGCTAAAATTCATCTGTTTAGCGCGCGATCTCTCTCGAAATTTTGATACCCGCTCTCCCTCCATTTCAGATTCAAGCTTCAGCCCTCGTCTTGGCGCCGCTCCTTCTGGATTATTCCATTTCTCCTCCTCGAGCTAGTAAGATTCGAAGTTTATGATTTCCTTCATTATCGTCTCTTGCAAATTTTCTGGTTTTCGTTGTTTGGTCCTATATTGATGCTTGTGGAATTCGCAGACCTAATTCAGTTTGTATGTGATGCGAATTTGAAATTGTGTCTGGTTTGGAAATTTGGAAGTTTTGTGCTGTGAAATTCCAGTTTTGAATGTCCGGTTGAAGGATTATGGTGAGGGAGCAACGAGTTGAATCGTTTTACTCTAGACTTCGTGATTCAGTGACCGCCTCCTCATTCTCTCCTCTGCTTATATTTCCTTCGACTTCTGATGTAGACTCGCTCTGTGCCTTGAAAATCATTTTCCAAGTTCTTGAGTCTGATTCGGTTCGATACGCATGCTATCCTGTGTCTTCTTTTCGAGAAATTCACAAATATGCTGGTCCTAGTTTGTCCTCGTCGTCCACTGACCCGATTTCGATTCTTTTAATTAATTGGGGATGCCATCGGGATCTTAGGAAAGTTCTGAATTTAGGTCCCGCTGCTCTAGTGTTCGTCGTGGATAGTCATCGCCCAATTCATCTTCATAATTTGAGTGATCAGAATGATCAAGTGGTTGTGCTTTATACAAAAGACGACGAACTCCAGGCCGATTTGGCTTATGATTTTGATGTCTCCGCATTAGCTAATGCAAGTGACTTAAATAGCGACGATGAGATTGATGAGGATTCTGATAGTGACGATGACAATGAAAGTGAAAGTGATGAAGAAGATAGAGGTGGGTCGAGGAAACGGAGGAGAGTTGATAAGGAGAACGAAGAGGATCCTGTTCTACTTTTTAGGAAACTGAAAAGGGGGTACTACCAAATGGGTACCTTCCATGGCAAGCCATCAGGATGTTTGATGTATGATTTGTCTCATTCCTTGAGGAAGAACACGAATGAATTACTATGGCTGGCTTGTGTGTCTTTAACAGATCAGTTTGTTCATGAAAGATTGACGGATGAGAGGTACCAAGCTGGGGTAATGGAGCTTGAACAACGCATAAACAATTCAGGGAACTTGAATACTGTTACCTCTGTTACTCTTAAAGATGGCACCAAGATCCGAGCCCCTGATTCATCCAGAATCACTTATGACGATGAACCCAGATTAATGCTCTTGCAGGAGTGGAATTTGTTTGATTCAATGCTTTGTTCTTCCTACATTGCAACCAAATTAAAGACATGGAGTGACAATGGAACGAAGAAGCTCAAGTTGCTTCTTGCACGCATGGGGTTTGCACTTGTGGATTGCCAACAGAAGTTCCAGTACATGAATCTTGAAGTGAAACGGAAGATGAAGGATGAATTCGAGAGGTACCTGCCCGAGTACGGCCTAACTGATTTCTACTACAGAAGTTTCTTAAGGTTACATGGCTACAGCTCAAAAGTGTCAGCCGCAGATGTGGTATATGGGGTCACTGCACTGCTCGAGTCCTTTGTCAAATCAGATGGTTTTAGTGCTTCCAAGCAATTTGGAGTGGCTTATGATGCATTGTCATTGAGCAATCTTGATAAGCTCAAAGCTGGAATGCAACAGGCAATCAAGGTTCAAAGGTCAATTCTTAGACAGGGGAGCTCTGCAATTACAAAGAGTGGTTGTATAAGAAGTGGGAGAAAATTTCGTTGGGTGAAGCTTGAAGATTCTATAGACACCAAACTGTTGGGGTATCCCCAAGCACTCACAAAGTTCTGCTACTTTGTAATGGATGCTCTGCGAGAGAAAGGAGCCAGAATGAAGCCTTTGCTATGTGCTTGCTTATCTCAAGAGCCCAACAAAGTATTGATCGTTGGGGTTTGTGGGAAGCCTCGGCTCGGGGCGGCTCAAGGCAATTCGTTTGGGAGAGCTTTTCGAAATGCGGCGGAGGAAATCAGCACAGATTTCTTCCACGAGCTGTTTGAATCCTCATGGATTGTTCTTGATGCAGCTGCAGTTAACTCTTTCATGGTTAGATTGACTGAGAAGCTCTAACGTAAAACTGCGGCCATATTCGTTGGAATGACTTTACTTCTCTTCTCTATTCGGTGTCGATTTCACGTGAGTTCTTTACTTTTCAAGGCAAGTCTCTGTTTTTTCCTTTTTGATGCCTGTCCATTGGAAAGCAGCTGAAGCCTTTTGTTTTAATATTTATTTTCCTTTTCTCTTTTTATTGAATAGATTATCTTGCTACTGAGTACTGAGTAAAGCCTCCATGTTTCTGTTTATTATCTTGTTTATGTATATATTTTGTATGTGATGAAGTACTGAATTAAGACATTGGAATTCTTTTGGCTGAGTTATCTTGCATTTCTAAAGCAAGCAACATCTCTATTAGCACTTTAATTTGGTCTTAACTCAAATATGAAGGCCTTTGATAATGTTTTATTATGTTGTCTAAGGTATGTTTATGTTGAATGATTTTGATCTGATCCTGTCTAGTTTGTTATTAGTTTGTGCTCCTGTTTTGCAACTATTATTTGTGATTCTGGATAATGTTTGAGATTTTGGCTTAATTATAGGTTGTAATGGTAGTTTGATATGTGGATATGGGCTAGCTATAGTTTTTTTCTTGGTTTGCTTTGTAATTATGACTGAAGTTTTTTTATGACCTTTGAATCTAAACATAGCATGTTTTAAGCCTAAATAATTTTGGTAACGTAAACAATTACAGGTTAAGAATTCATTACTTAATCTTATAGTACTTTTTATTTTTTTTTATAGGTGAATAAAAAGACACTCATACTTCGAGGAAGGGATTTGCAATGGACACGTTCATCAATCTTTTGGAGTGTGTTATTGCATTTATTGCACTTATTTTATCTTTGATGTGTATTAGAATATTTGAAAATTTTACGAACTCGTAGGATATATTTTTTTATATGAGCTAGAATTAATAGTTTTAAGGATTTTAGGATTGTAATATTTGTAGGTGAATGAAATAGTATGCCTCCATGTATACTTATGAGCAAGAGATACAATACAGAACATTCAAGTAATTTTGTGTAATTTTTTTTAGGTTTTATCCACTTATTGTCTATAATATATACATCTTAAACCTTTTTAGGATTAAGTTTATTGGATATCTTTTGTTATGACTTGGTTGTAGCTATTATCAATTTGTCATCAAATTTTATGTGAGATGGTGATGCTTCTATATGTCCAATATGCTTTGTTTGTTGCTAAATTATCCATCATCTGATTATCCTTCTCTTTGATGTATAAACAGGAATTTGTACTGTGGCAGGTTAGGGAAGTTGAAGCTAACTTGCAGTTCATTAGTCTAAATGTGTCTTTCATCCGTGTGTTATCTTTTTGTTCTTCCTAACAGTCTCATCACTATTCTGAAATGTCCAACTTCTGCTATAGTAGTATACGAGTGTTCAAAAACGCTTAGTCTAAAGGAACAACTCTCTTTAAGGAGAATGCTAATATCTCATTCTTTAGTATTGGCATCCCACACGAAGCTTGGGGGTCGCATTCTCGGTTATTATCTGCTTGATGTTCAACTTCATTATCTCATATTTTCTCCTGTCATGGCTGCTACAAACCAACCAAATCCAAGGATCAAGAAATCACCAGGTTTTTAAGAATTCTTACATTTGAATTGTTGGTTGGCTTGTTTCCAGGAAATCAGTATGCTTCTGGAGTACCAGAGAAAGTGAAGTTCTTTGGGTAGTGCAAACTATGCAGGAGCTCTGAAAAGCTCTGGGGCATTTATAATTCAGTCAAAAGTTTAGTATGAATTTTTGGACTTCACAGATGGAGCCCAATATCTCGTGAGTACTCGAGGAATCACCTAAAAATTGGAGTTTATGATTTGGCCAGGTTTAATTTTCTTTCTGGCATTCCCTCTCTTAATTGTTTTTTTTCTTTTTTTTTGTAATTAATACAGATTTGGGCAGCTCTTTGTAAGCTCCTAATGGAGCTTTGTTGTTAGATTGCTTTTGTTGCAAGTTTTCATTAAATCAAATGATAAGCTTACATCTTTCTTGTTGGTTGGCCAAGATCATGTGCAGCAGCTCAAATGCTAGCCGGATGGGCTGGCAAGTTTCTGCTGGAAATAGCTATCTTACAAGGATGTACTTGTATCAGCTCCTGAGAAAGAAACATGGTAAGCCTTTGACCCATTCTTTAGATTTTTGTTTCTTTTGTTTGTACAGCAACTCTTGTTCATTTTGTATGTGTTGGTTGGGAAATGGGATGTTAGGATAGAACAAGAGAAATTGTTATTTGATGAATTGTAGTGTTTGATTTCTAGATGGAAACTTGAAACTCAACTAGATTTGCTTATTTTAGATGGTAGTAAGTTAACCTATATATGAAATGGACAAGTAAACAGTATGTTTGAATGTGAAGAACTTCATACTATAGAAAAGAAAACACAGGACTTTATTGGATTTCAGTAAAAGGGTAAAGTTGTATATAATAGAATATGATATTGTTGAAGTTTTATCTTATTGACCTTGATAATTTGGCATCATATAGGGATGTGTAGAACTAAATCAAATCAATCTGATTGATTTGATTTAATTTAGTTTTTTTTTGTTACATCCAAATCATATCAAACCAACCATTAATGATTTTGTTTGGTTCATGATGACAAAGTGTGATTTAATTATATTAGTATTATAAATGATGTCCAAATCATGTTCATGGTTGCATTAGTTAGGAGGAGAGAGGAGTAATTTGCTCTGGTTGGTATAAAAGTAGATGGGAAAATAAGCAAAAAATATTAGTTGGTGGGTATGGTTTGTAAAACAGAAAGCAAAAATAAAATTTTATCAAATGAGCTCTTGGTTCTTTTGGCATGCCATTTTTCATCAATATGAAGAAAAACAGTATTGGGAAAAGAAAATTAAGTGCTTCTTGGCCAAACTGTTTTCAAAACAATTTTTTATGTTTATTTTTAGAATTTTGAGTCTTACGCATATCTGGACTAATTTTATAGGATAATTGTCTGGTTTTACAATATTTGGTGTTGTAAAACACATGAGAATTAGTTCTTAAGTTATTTTTAAAACTACTTTTAAAAAATTGTTTTCAAATGGTTTATAGAAATTAAGTATTATTATGCGCATTGAAATTGTTGTACACAAGCTTTGTGATATTGAAAACAATTATAAAAATCAATTCATCCATTGAAACACACAATAAAAAGAAAGAAGAAACAATTATAAGTAGGTTAAATCATAAGTTTTGTCATGAATTTTGGAGAGTTTTGATTTTTGAACTTTGAAAAGTATATAATGTATTATAGGTTTTTAAACTTTTAATTTTGTGCGGGAGTAAATTGGTCATATTTTTAAATTAATAAATTCATTAGATATAAAATTGGATTTTGCATATAATATTATTCTAAACTTTTTATTTTTTGATAGAATAATATTCTAAACTTTCCATTATGTCTAATAAGTATGTGAATTTAAAAAAATGTTGAACATGACAAATTATATAAAAAAAAATGAAAGTTTATGAGTAGGTTGAACACTTTTGAAAATTCATAAATTTATTAGAAAAAATACTTAGGTTTTAATGGGTGAAGTCACTTATCTCCAACAAGAGAAAAATGAAAATAGGTAATTTTAAGAAAGTAATGAACTTTTAATTTTTTTGATAGTGAGCATAGAGATAACTCAAATAAGTCATCATCATTCAGGGCTTAATATTTTTTATTTATTAGATACAAAATTGAAAATTCCTGACCTATTAAATACTTTTAAAATTCAAAGACTAAAGTTGTAATTTAACACAAAGTAGTATTGTTAACATATTTTATTGAGTTAATTTTTGTTCTAAATAATAGAAATCTATCCTAAATAAACAATCCCTAAATCAACTTTATGTAAGTCATGCCTCATAGTAAAGAAATTGAGCTCAAATTTTATGTGGGTTTGTTCATATTAGATTTTGAATTTGTTAATTTTTATAGGCTACATAACTCACACTAATTTGTGTATTATTTTATACAAATTAAATCACATATTACACAAACCCAACCTATAATAATTTTTAAAAAAATTTATTCTCTTGTACATTACAATGGTAGGTTATAATCCGAACTTCTCAACCCTCAATTGGGTCTATTAAAATGTTGTACTAAAAAAAGAAAAGAAAAAGAAAAACTAGACCTATTAAAATCATGTTGAAATTAAAAAGAAAAAAAAAATAAAGAAAAAAAATAAGTACCAACATGAACTATATATGTAATTGTAAATTCTAAAAATTTTCCAATACTCTACCAAATAATCTCTCATGAGGATTAAAAAAAATGACGTAAGGGCATGCGTGGTATTTGTTCGGTATTTGACCACTGTCCAATATTCATCATTCACACGTGCAACTCATGCTTTTCCCCATCCCTTTTTATTGTCATCCAAATGATTTTGGACCATATAAAATCAATTGTTTTGTTATTATTAATTTATTAGTAAATTCTTACAAAGTTTTACTTTTATGGTAAGATTATAGAGCTAATGTGATGAAATTAAAGATTTAAGGTTAAAAGTGACACATTAAATTAATTACAAATAAAGGAAAATAAAATAGTAAAACATCACTTTTGAATTGGATTAAGTTGCTATAATTGCACCATTGAATTTTCAACTCAAGCCATTTGTCTTTCTAAAATTAAAGAAAAGGTTAATAGGCATTGGACTCTGTTATATATTTATATTTATATATGTAGCTCTAGTTTGGGTTTTTGCATTAGAAAGAAATTCCCTAAATTTTGGGAATTCTGTAGTTTCGAGTATGGGAAAATATGGGGAAAAGGCAAAAAGAAGCTTAGCTGAGAATAGGTGTTTGAGGGGAGAGAAAATGAAAGAGAAAAATGGAAATTTGGAGTCAAAGTCAACAAATAAAAAAAGTTCAAAATATACAAACGTATGCAATTACATTAACATCCACACGTATAGAATAGAACTTCAGTTTGACCAAAATCATATTTTAAAAAAGTCAAAAGGATTTGGAATTCAACCATTTAGGGGGGATTTGATAACGATTTTTGTTTTTGGTTTTTCTATCTTTTCTTTTAAATTTCCTGTTTTTAGAAAAAAAAAAAAACAATATACCTTTGATAACTGTAAAAAACAACAGAAAATCAAACATGTATAATAAATATTCTAATTTCTAGTTTTTCCAAAAATTAGAAAGTTGGAGAGATATCTCAGAGGAGAAAAATTTATGATAGGTAGAGAGGACAATGGGGTGGGGCGAGAGTAGGGAGATGTCCTTCTCACCTTGTCCTCGCAGAAATTTTTAGTTATTGTCTCCACCTCATTCTCTGATTCCGAGAATTGAGGTTCGGATCAAGGAATCCTCATTTGTGGACGGGAATTTTTGCAAGGAAAATGATCGATTTAGTAATTAATTTTAATTATTTTTAGAATTTAAAAAATATAAGAAAGTAACGTATATATACACTATATCTATTTTACTAAAAAAAATTATTATTTACTAGTATAAATGATTAGTTAGAAATTTTTTTTTAATATTTTATTCATAGTTCAGTAAAACCGTTAATAAAGTATATATTAATTAATTATAAGTGAAATAAAATTGAAAGAGAAAATATTTAGATAAGTAAAAGTTGAAGATATATTTCTTAGAGAAAAAGTAGACTAGAAAGAGAAAGAAAAATTATAAAAGACGAAATTTGAGAATGAGAAATGTTTGAAAAAAATATTAAAATTTTCGAGAGAAAAAAAATGAGATGATAGGTTAGAACAACAAAAAAAAAGAAATAGAAATATATAGAAATGAAAATTTTTGAGGGGTGAGAAATAATAGTAAATATTTATAGATGAAAATTTTAGAAATAAAAAGATAAATTTTTTAGAGAGAGAAATTTAGGCAAGAAAATATTTTAGTGTGAAAAAAAACTTATTAGGGAGAAATATGTCAAACAAAAATAAAAAGTTGAGCCTAGGAAGAAAAATGAGATTTTAAGAAACAGAGATATGTTTCTAATTTTTCTTTATAAATTTACTAAGAATTTCAAAAAACAT